CACCATTCCTGATACAAGCCAGGATGCCACTGGCCCTCTTGGCCACCTGGGCACACTGCTGGCTCATGTTCAGCGGCTGTCGACCCAGCACCCCCGGCCCTTTGCCGCCGGGCAGCTCCCAGCCGCTCCTCCCCACGCCTGCAGCGGTGCCTGGGGTCGCCGTGCCCCAAGCGCTGGGTTACCGGTTGGACTCGAAGATCCGAAGGGTCTTTTCCAACCTCAACGCTTCCATGATTCTATGAAACGCCCTCGCCCAAGGACTTGCCAGGAGTTGAGGAGAAGGCCCAGGAGGCCGAGGCTGGGGAGACCCACCGTGAACCCCACGCAGTGTCCAGGAGGAGGCAGAACGAGGGCACCATGCTGACCGTCTCCCTCCTTTCCCAGGAGCGCCCGGGGCTCCCAAAGCCACCTCTCCGCTACCGATGGGGTGCGGGCTCACCCACACCGCAAACCACACCACCCGTCAGCCCGGGCGCCCGACGGGCGTTGAGGGAGGGCGAAGGGAAGAAGGAGGAGAGGGCGGCGAACGCCTGCTTGTCCCGCCAGCGCCTCCAGCGACGCCGCTGCCGCGGCCTCCCCAGAAGGACGCCGCCCGTTCCGCTTCCCCCACTCCATGGTTTTAAGTCAACTTCATGGATTCTGGAAAGCTTGGGATGCCCTGAAGCACAACTAGGAACCATCTTTTCGATCCAAAGGGCCAATCCGGGAAGGTCGCATAGGAATCGGAAACCGTTTTGCAGCTGAAGGAGGTGACGGAAGGCGAATCCAACCGCTCGGCGGCGGGGGAAGTCGGCGCCGCGGCCTCCGTGGGGGAGGCCGGCCCCGCGCCCCCCGTCCCGGCTGCGCCAGCCACGCCAGCGGCGTTTGTCACGGGCGGCCAGAAGGGCGCAGACAATTCCGAGGAGCGCCATAGTTGTGGAAAAGCACCTCAGGATCTCGGAAAGCCCCCAAATATTTGGTGGCTGGTGGCGGTTGCTTGAGAAGAGATGCCCGAGCTGGGAATAACCGGCAAGGCAGAGAGTCGGCTCCTCCAAGAGTTTCGCTTTGTCCGAAAGCCCGGGGCGTAGGTTTTCCTTGACGGGAGCACGTCGCTGGAAGCCAGAGACGACCAAAGTGCTTCCACTACACCTTCGTTGCTAAAATTGGTCCTTGATTCTCAGAATAACCCAGGAAACATCTGGATTATGACCCAAAAATGCCTTGTTTGGAGCCTTGTCTCTATCCCGGTGGAAAGAAAGAAGAAATGAGAAGAGAAATATCATTTTTATTCTCCCTCAAGCCAACGTGGACTTTCTGAGGCCTGGGAGAGTTCTTGCCAAGATGGCTGAAAGCCTTGGGTTGGATCGCACCCAGCTCCCACCTGGAGACCCAACCTCGAGAGGTTGGAGGGGCAAAAAAACGGCAGCAGAGGGTGAAAATGGCTGACGCGGCCCATTTCCGGTCTTGGGACGCGTTGGCCGGTCAATGGCATTGTGGGAATTTTGGGGGCGACGTGGAAGGGGAAGGTTGGATCCTGCTGCAGGGCATCTCCAGTCTTCGCTCTCTTTGTTTGGACAACGGCATGATGGGAAATGGGGATTCCTTCAGCGGGGTGGGTTATGGAGGGCCACCACTGTCATTGGGTCTTCTTCTCACTTGGGGTCACCCCGTCACGGGGGGGTGTCTGTCGGGGGGAGGTCGTCATGGTTTGAGGGCCAGGACTCAAATGCTGGACAGTTGGGTGGAGGGAAGGACGAGCAGGTGCGGCGGCCATCCCACGTGCAGAAGAAGACCTTCCCCGTCCCCTCCGCACCATCCCAACGTGCTCGCGCCACCGCCACAGCCAGGTGACGGAGGCAACCGCCACCCTCAGGACCTCCTGGAGGGTCTCGCTACGTGGTGGCCACCGCTCCTGTCACTCCCCCCGCCCAGGGGACAAAGGAAGGTCCGGCACCCCTCCCCCACCAGATGTCCCCTTCCTCCCCTGTGGTTTTTCTTGCCTCTTTCCTCTTGCGTGAGCGTTTCCTGCGTGGGGTTGGGTGGAGGGGAAGTGGCATCTAACAGTCACGGCCACCGCAGGTGACGGGGACACCGAGGATCCAGCGGCCAGGCCAGGGGCTCTTGGGAAGGGACACGTGAGCCCCTGAGGTACAGGAGGGAAGGCTGGTGGGGTGGGAGGTCTTGGGGGGCGAGCACCTGCAAGATCTCGGGGGGGGAGGGACTGGGAGGTCTGGAGGGCGACTGGGAGGTCTGGAGGGCAACTGGGAGGTCTGGAGGGCAACTGGGAAGTCTGGAGGGTGACTGGGAGGTCTGGAGGGTGACTGGGAGGTCTGGAGGGCAACTGGAAGATCCGGGTGGACAACTAGGGTGTCTGGGGGTGGAAACTGGGAGGTTTGATGGGGGCAAATGGGTGGTGGGGTGGTCCTCTGGGAGGCAACTGGGAGGTCTGTGTTGCCAACTGGGGGCAACGGGGAGGTTTGATGGGGCCACCGGGTGGTGCGGTGGCCCAGTGGGAGGTCCTGGGGGCAACGGGGAGGTCTGGGAGATGCCAAGATGGAGGGGAAGAGCCGAGAGGGTTAAAGGAAGAGGAGGAGACCTCAGGGAGTGGGGAGAAGGAAGGCGGGGAGGTGGGAGAAGGAGAAAGGGAGGGTCCCTGGGGAGGGGGGAGATGGGATGGGGAGGGAGGGCAGGATGGAGGGAGGGATGGATGGGGAGATGGAGGGGTGGCGGAAGGGACGGAGAGATGGGGGGCTCAAGGGACGGAGCACGGGGCGGGCAGACGGGTGGCGGGACGGAGGGAGACCTGCGTTTCCTCTGGAGGATTCTGTGTCCCCCTCTCCCCGCAGCCCCTCCCCACCCACGGCCACCATGTCCTTGTCACCCACCAATGCCTCAGCCTTCTCCAACGCCACGTCCGCCCCCGTCCCCGGCGCGGCGGTGGGGCTGACCCTGCTGGCGGTGGCGGTGGCGCTGGGCCTGCCGGGCAACGCCATGGTCCTCTGGAGCTGCGCCGTCACCCGCCGTCGCGGCGTCCCCGTCCTCCTCATCTTCCACTTGGCCTTGGCCGACGTGGTCACCCTCCTCACCGGTCCCATCTACCTCCGGGCCTTGAGCGTCGGCCAATGGAACATGGGCTTGGCCGTCTGCCGCGGGTGTCACTACCTCTGTGCCGCTGCCATGTACGTCAGCGTCTTCCTCATCGCTCTTCTGGGTCTCCATCGGTGCTTGGCGGTCTCCAGGCCGGCGACGGCGGTGGTGACGGCGAGTGACCGTGCTGGACGGTTGGCCCACGGCGCGGCGGCGGTGACTTGGTCGGTGGCTTTGGTGTTGGCCATCCCATCCATCGTCTTCCGACGGGTGCAGAACGGGCACTGCCAGCGGGTGCACAGCACGGAGGTTTGGTTGGTCATCCACAACCTTCTGGAGACCATCTTGGGTTGGGCTCTACCATTGACCGCCGTAGCCACAGGCTACGGGTTACTGGTCCGCCGGTTACGCCAGACCCGCTTGGGCCGGCGCGGCCCGACCGGTGTTAAACTTTTTTTCTACCTGAAAATGATGCTTTGTAAGTCAAATGGATATTCAATGATCCCTGTTGTTGGGACTCGAACTCTAAGCACATCTTGCTGAGTTGGCAGATAGGCCGAATCTGCTATGCGGTCCAAGTCGTTAAGATAACTATAGATGGGGAGAAACAACAGGAATGCAAGACAGTGATACCATAATCCCACTGAGGAAAAGAGAAAGGAAGACTTGGGAAAAGAAATGGGGTGTGGGATAGGAAGAAGTGCAACAGAAAAAAGAGCAATATCGACATAAAAGAAGGAAGGAAATATAAAGGAGTGCTCCATTCTCCCTTCCTGGTAATTTTCATAGATTCAAGTAAATTCTACAAAAGGACAACATGATTATTATGATTTTCATATAAATTTTCTTGGCTTTCACAGATTGAATCACCAACAATTCAAGGCGGGGGAGGGTCTGGGGGAGGACGGGCGCGGTGGAGACCCCAACGCAAACCCCTCCCGCTGTTCATCCATCCCCCGCTCCAACCCTCCCCCAGCCACGTCGCCATCCGTCCTTCCGTCCCTCCGGCCATCCCTCCGTCTCCCTTCCCTCCGATACCTCCCTCCCTCCCTCCTCCATCCCTCCTCCATCTCCCTTCCCTCCTCCCTCCCTCCTCCCTCCTCCATCCCTCCTCCATCCCACCATCCCTCCTCTGTTCCTCCATCCCACCTTATCTCCATCCCACCATCCCTCCTCCATCCCTCCTCCATCTCCCTTCCCTCCTCCCTCCCTCCTCCCTCCTCCATCCCTCCTCCATCCCACCATCCCTCCTCTGTTCCTCCATCCCACCTTATCTCCATCCCACCATCC